TAAAATAAAAAATTCTGCTTATGAAAGACAAGCCATAGACTGGGAGAAAATATTTGCAAAAGACAGACCTGATAAAGGACCGTTACCCAAAATATATAAAGAACTCTTAAAACTCAACATTAAGAAAACAAACTGAAAAGTGGGCCTAAACCCTTAACAGACACTTCATCAAAGAAGATATACAGATGGCAAATAAGCACAAGAAAGGATGCTCCACATCATATGTCATTAGGGAAATGAAAATTACCATAATGAAATACTACTACACACTTAGGAGAATGGCTAAAATCCAAACACTAACACCCAACGTTGGCGGGGATGTGGAGCAATAGGAACTCTCACTCACTGCTGGTGGGAACGCAAAATGGTACAGCCACTCTGGAAGGCAGTTTGGCAGTTTCTTACAAAACTAAATATACTCTCACCATGTGATCCAGCAATCACACACCCTGGTATTTACCCAGAGGAGCTCAAAACTTAGGCCTACACAAAAACCTGCAGACAGATGTTTATAGCAGCTTTAGTCAAAATTGCCAAAACTTGGATGCCACCCACATGTCCTAGATATCCTTAAGTAGATGAATGGATAAATGAAGTGTGGTCCATCCAGACAATGGAATATTATTCAGTGCTAAAAAGAAATGAGCTATCAAGCCATGAAAAGACGTGGAGGAACCTTAAATGCACATCACTAAGTGAAAAGTCAATCTGAAAAGGCGACATACTGTATGATTCCAAGTATATGACATTCTGGAAAAGGCAAAACTATGGGGACAATAAAAATATCAGCAGTTGCCAGAGGTGTGTGGGGAGGGGAGATGAATAGGCAGAGTACAGAGGACTTCTAGGGCAGTGAAACTACTCTGTATGATACTATAATGGTAGATACACGCCATTATACATTTGTCCAAACCCACAGAATGTACAACACCAAGAGTGAACCCTAACGTAAACAATGGATTCTGGGTGATGATGAAGTGTCGATGAAGGTTCATCAATTATAACCAACGCACCACTCTGGTGGGGGAATGTTGATAACAGAGGGGCTATGTATGTGTGGGGGCAGTGAGTATATGGGAAATCTCTATATCTTTCTCTCAATTTTGCTGTGAACCTAAAACTGCTCTAAAAAATAGGTCTATGTAAAAAAATAAAAGGAATGGAGTACGGATACATGTTACAACATGGATGAAACTTCGAACAATTACACTAAGTCAAAGAAGCCAGACACAGAAGGCCACATATTGTATGAATTTCATTCACATGAAATGTCCAGAATAGAGAAATCCCTAGAGACAGAAAGTAGTGGTTGCCTAGGGCTGGAGGTTTACAGGAATGGGTATTGGGTTTCTTTCTGAGGTGATGAAAATGTTCTGAAATTAGACAGTGATGATTGCTGGACAACTCTGTGAATACAATAAAAACCACTGAATTATATACTTTAAAAGGGTGAATCTTATGCTATGTGAATTATATCTCAACCAAGCTGTTGTTTTATAAAATGGATAGATTCAAACTCAACCATAGCAATGGTTACATTAAATATTAATAGATTAAACAGTCAAATGAAAAGACAGAGATTTCAAAAAGGATTAAAAAAAAAGGACCCAACTATAAGCTGTCTACAAAAGACTGACTTTAAACATGATGACAAAGGTAAAATGAGAGTAAATGGATGGGAAAAGATACACTATGCAAAGAGTAAGCAAGAAAGCTGGACTGATTATTTAATACCAGATAAAATATATTTCAAAACAAAATGTATTACAAGAGAGAAAAGACTACTTCATAACAAAAGGGTCAATTCAAGAGGAAAACATAACAATCATAAATATGTATACACTCAATAATAGAGTTTCAAATATGTGAAGCAAACATTGACAGAATTAAATTAAAAGGAGAAAGAATTCTGCAATCATAATAGGAGATTTTAACACTCATCTCTAAGCAACTGATAGAACTAGACAAAAAACTAACAAAGATATACAAGATCTTAACACTTTCAATCACACTGACTTGACGGATAGGATTGACTGATTTACAGAATGCTCTACCTCGTGACGTCAGAATACATATTCTTTAGGTGCACACAGTACATTTACTGGGAAAGATCATATATCCTCAGAGTTTAAAAATTTAAAAAGATTGAACTTATACAGAGTGTGTTCTCTGACCAAGATGAAATTAAGTTAGAAATCAGTAACAATAAGATAACCAGGCAACGCCCACCAATAGCTGGAAAACAAATAACACTCTTCTAAATAATCATTGGCCCCATTTGAGGAAAGCATCCTAGGAGCTTGTTGGAAAACGAGGATTTTTGAGATGCACTAACATTCTGCCTCTACACTGTTTCCAATCTTTTTAATCTACAGAGCCCAGACTTGGGCTGCAACATCCAACTGGATTTCCAGCCTCCAGCCAGCCCTGTTCTCTTCAGATGGGTGAGCGCCGGCCACCTGAATTGACATGAGCCAATTTCTCAGTCGATCCTGTTGCTACTGTTTCTCCTGACTAATAGGGATTTTGTTCAATCCAGGGGAGACTGCCAGCAACCAAGGACGTCAGGTCAGTCCTGAACAGGTTTTTCCTCCAATTACAACCCAAAGTTTACATAACGTCTTCTTGTCCTTATACCATTTACTTGTGCCATTAAAATGTGTGATTGTAAACAGACAAGGAGTTTTACCACCCCTAGATTTTCTAATGGTTTAATGAATTCTATGTCTAACATAACACATTCTCAAAGCTATACATCCAGTTACCTTTACATTTGAAAAATCTGGTCATATGACCAGCATGTACTTAAAGCTACCTAATGGTGGAATTTAATAAAGTACAATAAAATGTGAAATAAATAAATAAATATCATTGGATCAAAGTAGAAATTACAAGAGAAATTGGAAAATACTTTGAACTGAATAATAATGAAAATATGACAACATAACAAAATGTGTGACATGCAACTAAAGCAGTGTTTAGAGAAGGTTGATAGCTCTGAATGTCTCTAGAAGAAAAGAAGGTCCCAAGTCCATGACCTAAGCTTGCACCTTAAGAAATAGGAGGTGCTGGAAATTATATCCAAAGTGAACAGAAGGAAGGAACTAATAAAGAGCAGAAACAAATGAAATCAATAACTTCTAGCCAGACTAACTGAGAAATTGGAGACACAAATTATCTATATCAGCAATGAAAAATGAAGCACCACTACAGATCCTTCAGACATTAAAAATATAAAAAGAGGGGGCTGGGCCCATGGCCAAGCGGTTAAAGTTCTGTGCACTCCGCTTCGGCGGCTTGGATTCGCAGGTTCAGGTCCCAAGCGCAGACCCACTCCACTCATCAGCCATGCTGTGGAGGCATCCCACATACAAAGGAGAGGAAGATGGGTGCAGATGTTAGCTCAGGGCTAATCTTCCTCAACCAAAAAGAAAAAAAAGAGGCATATTGCCAACGAATGTTAGCTCAGGGCAAATCTTCCTCACCAAAAAAAACATAAAACAAAACATATATATATAACAAGAGGATAACTTGAACTCTCTGCCAATACATTTGACCATTTGAATGAAATGGATGTCTGGGCAAGTGCAGAAGCCTAAAGGTTCTAGGACAGCTGGTGCATTAGGGGGTGGGCTGGGGGCTGTGGACAGGTTGATGACGTCTGAGCAGCCACAGTCTGAGGGTGGAGGGTCAGATAGGTGGAATCTGACCAGACAGCAATGGGGAGCCAGTCAGGGGTTCTAAGCAGAGAAGTGGCCTGGTCAACTTTGAGCTTTGAGGAAAAGCACTCCAGCTGTGTAAAGAATACCTGAGGGGGTGAGCCTTGGGGTAGGCCAGCGCCACTGTCCAAGGAAGCCAGGCCCGAAGCCCCCAGGGAACAATGGGAAGACACAAGGGTGAGAAGGAGGGAGAAGGGAGAGGAAGGAGGCAGGGCCAGGGCCTGGAGGCTGGTGTGGGTGTCGGGGAGTTAAGTGAGGCTGCCCCAGAGACCGGGGTCCCAGGAGGTGGTAGAGGCCACTGGGAATAGGGCTTTGGTCCGGGAGCCTGCAGAGTGCATGAGGCCAGGAGCAGCTGGAGGAGGCCTGGGCAGGCAGCCGGGCAGCACCACAGCCCGTTTTCCCTGTCCCAGCCGCTGCCAGGAGGGCCTCATGTGTACCCCTGAGGCTCAGAAGAGGGCATGAGGAGATCAGCTGGGAGGCCAGAGCAGCTGCGCTGACGACCCAGCCTCCACTGAGGCCAGATGAGCTCACAGCCTGAATACATGCAGGACTATCTCAGTCTCGAACATCAACCCCAGGTGCGGGTGGGCTGGGTGCAGGTGGGGACACTTGGCCTGGTGAGAAGGGGGATGGGCCCCAGCAGGCAGGGATATGACTGGAGACGCAGAGAGGAAGGAAGCCGGGCCAGGACAAGGCCGAGCCTCTTGCCGGAGTGTTAGCACCTGCTGCCTCCATTTGCTGATCAGATCACAGAGCCCCTGGCAACCCCGACTCCTCCAGGCCCCAACCCCAGGCCACATGAGGCCTGCCCCATCTGGGCCCACCCATCTCACCAAATGAACCCCCTCTGATGCCCCAAATGTAAAGAAGCTTCCCCTTCCCTAAACCGTTGCAAAGCCTGTCCCTTCTGCCTGCACCTCTGCTTCTCCTCCGGATGCTTGGCCAGCTCCTACTTCACTCTCGTGCTTCAGCCTGGGTGTCACCAACCTCCCTTGGGCTCCCCCAGCCCCCACGGTACCGATCTGAGGCCTCTCTGCCTCCCACAACAGCCCAACGTTGGGCACCTGAAGTGGGGGGGTCAGGCCATGTTCCCCCTCCTGGGGAACAGTAGGCCAGGCCCGCGTTACCAGTACCCCTGAATGCTCAGGACGGGGCTGGCCCACAAGGCCGGGCTCCCCCAGCCCCCAGCCCCGCTCCTACCATTCTCTGAGCCTCAGTTTTCTCATCTGCAGGAGGGGGCAGTGATATCCCCCTCCCTGCAACCCACCTGCTGGTACTTACCCAGCAGGCTCTGCCGCTCCTCCTTCTTCCGGGCCTTCTGCTTGGCCTCCAGCTGCACCACAGAAAGGGCCGGCCCCACCGTGGGGCTGGGGAGAGCGCTGGCTGCAAAGCGGGCCAGCAGACCCAGCCCACTCTCCTCCAGGCCTGGCGACAGGGCCCGCTCCCGGGCCCCCAGCCTATAGCCGCTGCCGGCCTCGTCTTCCTCCTCCAGCTCATCCTCCTCTTCCTCCTCCTCGGAACTCTCATCTGGCGTGCAGAAAACAGGGGGCAAGTCAGAGCCTTGGCCTGGGCGTGCGCAGCCCCCCACCACCCCCCACTCAGCCGGAGCACCAGAGCGGGTGCCACAGCTCCAGCCTAGCTCCTCACTCCTCACCAGTTGGGGTAGATCCAGAACCAGCCCACGAGGCCCCCCCATGGCCCAATGCCCCCATCAAAGCAAGCCCAAGCCGTGGGCAGCCTGAACAGCCCAGAGGTGGACAGCGGCTTTGGGAATCAGAGTGGGTTTCTGCAAGGGGAACACCAACATGCACCTGTGCTGTGGGGGGCGACAGACACGCGGACAAGGACTGGAGACAGCTCTCTCCACGGTCTCACGCACACACACACACACGCCCCAACGTACAACATGAAGGCTGAGGAGGGAGGCAGGAGAGAAGAGAAGGAAAGAGGCGAGGGAGAAGAGGAAAGGGGGCTCAGACTGGGGGTCCAGGCACAGGAGCCTGGGGGCAGTTTCACCAGCCGGAAGCCTGGGGGCTGGCAGCAGGAGAAGGTGGAGTTTGGTCTCTTCGTGGGCGGGTAAGGAGACCCCCACAGATGAAGCCCTGAGCAGGCTCTGGGGTCCAAAGTTGACTCCAATACCACGCCCCCTGCTGGGAAGCCTGGGGCAAGTCCCTGGCCCTCTCTGAGCCCCTATTTTCTCATCTGTGGCACAGGGTAGCCCTCGCGGCCACCCACCCAGCTAATGGTAGGGTCCAAACAGGATGACATGTTATGTAGGAGAAAGCACTTTGCAGTCACAAAGAGGATCAAACAGAAACAGGACCACCCTGTCCTGCAGAAAGTACTGCCCCTTGTACTGTCCCTGCAGCCGAAGGAGCCACAAGCTGGGTATGCTTCTTGACCCCCAGGGAGTGGTGAGGGGAGCGGGTGGGCCGGCTAGCCTACTCCGCACCAGGAGACTGAGCACCGGCCTGCTCAAGCACTGGGGCAGCAGAGCAGCACCCGAACCTGAGGTTCGCTGGCTGTCTTGTCGCCCCTGGTCAAGTAGAAGGAGTCTCGAAAGAAGCCCCAGCCTCTCTCTGGTTGGTGAATAGAGACGTGCCTCTCCGGAGGAAGTGGCCCTGCCGCCTGAGGACCAACAGCCTGAGCCCAGCTCAGACCATTGGGACAAAAGTAAGTGGGCGGCAGAGAAAGCAGGCAGGACGATGCCCTCCACCAAAAACAGAGACCGCCTGGAAGCACACCTTGCTTCTGACCTTCCCAGGGAGATGCCTCAGCTGACCCCACAAGGGCAGCCAGGCGGGAGAACGTCAGGGGCTGACTCTACCCGAGACGCCACGGCCAAGGAACCACTGAGGGACACCTGCCCAAGGGTACCTGTCTACCCAGAGCCCCGGGAGTGTGAAGGTGGCTCTGGGAGCCACTGGCCAAGGGCAGGGCCAGAAGAGGCTGGAGGCACCTCTCTCTAGCAAGAAGAGGCAGGAGGGAGAGAAGATGAGCCATCGCCCCTCCGCACTCTGTCTGGGGACTCAGGGGGGCGGGGGCAGATGGACAGCCTAGTCCACCTTCTCCTGCCAACATCCCACTCCACCTGCTGGCTGGAGTGCAACCAGCGGCCAAAAGCAGTGGCCCTGGGGTGCCAATGAGGACCAAGGTTCTCTCTGTCCACCCACGTATCTGAGCGACCCCTCAGCAAGGGAGGCGGTGATGAGCTTAAGGAATCCCTGCAGGGAGTTGAGAGAGGAAGGATGCAGAGAGAGAGGAGGTGTTAAGATGGGGAGAGACCGAGCCCGGCTCCCAGAGCAGTGACGGATGAAGCGGGATGGAGGCCAGCGGGGCAGGCAGGCAGCAGGCAGTGCACACTTGCGATCCATTCACAGTGCGGGCGTCACATGGTTCTGTCTCCGCCCCAGTGGGCCACAGCGGCAAAGCAGGCTAAGTGTAGGCAGACTTTCACAGCACCTGGGTCCCCCATGGCAGGCCCCCCCTGGGGTTGGACAATTTGAGCAGGGTGGCGGGCAGGGGCTGGCTGGGGTGGGGGCACTGGAGGGGTGTGGCCAGGTTTCCCTTCTAGAAATATCCTTCCTGGGCTGCTCAGGTGTGGAGACTCCAGAACTCTCTCCCATCCGGAAAGATTCTCCACCACAGGGTCCAGCGGAGGAGGGCTGGCTCTGGGTTTCTGGACGCCCGGAATGTCGACTTCAGATCCCAGAAAACCAGTAGCAGCCCAAGCCCAGCACCTTGAGATGGAAGAGTGTTCGGAAGGCAAAAGCCAAAACAGGGTGTGCTTCACACACAAGAGACGCAGATGATCTTGGTCTCCCGGGACCCTCCCCCCGCCCCCCTCCCACTCCTGCGAGCCTGATAAGCCCGCCCTGGCTGCCTCCCCTGGTGGCCAGTAGGCTAAGGCCGGGGTCTGTGGGTCAGGGGGAGCAGAAGGGTCTCAGGACCAAGAAAGCCTTTCTGGAGCTGTCCACACCTGAGGCAACAAAGCCCGCTAAGGGCAGCGGGAGAAAAAGTCCCAACAAAGAAACCCAAGGAAATGTGGAAAAACATTTTTATAAAAAAACTCTTGGCTCAGTATGTGGGGTTGGCTGTTGGAACGTGGTTTGGTTTTCCAAAACCTGATCCATAAATGCCCAAGCAATCCGCTGCTGCCATAGCCGATGGGGGCAAACCCCGAGGACGGGAGGTGCAGAGGGGACACAAAGAAAAGGGTTTTGCCTACCTACGGAGCAACGAGCCAGGCTCGGACCCAAGCTCAGTGACCCGCTGCGCCGTCTGCCCTACTCCCAGCCTTCGCTTTGCGTCCAGAGTGCAGCGTGAGAGCAAATGCAAGAGACCAAAACAGACATTCAAAGCATCATGGGTAGGGGTCAAGGGTGAAGGTATGGTCAAGCTGCTGGGAGGAGAAAGCAGACACACTAGAAAAGCCAAGCCAATTAGGGGTTTTAGTATCAGAGGTCAGTAAGGCCCTATTACCCAAATATCCCTTTCAAGACCTGACCGACTGTCTGTGGGCAGCGGGGCCCCTCCCCTCCCCCATCTGAGCTCGGGCCACTGCTGCGTCTGACTCTGGTCTGAGGGCCCCCAGCTTCCTCTGCCCACTCTGCACAAACGGCTCCTTGCTAAGAGATCTGGGTTGCTGTCTGCTTCTCAACAGGGTCTGAGCTGGGGCAAGAGAGCTCAAAAACTTGGAAGCTGGAACTCTGGCTTTAAGGGGTAGGAGGCATGGGGGTCCAGCCTGGGGAGGAGGGGAGGGGAGATGATGAACCAGCCAGACTCATCCATGGAGGCCCGGGCTGGGGAGGCCTGGGAAAATGAGGCTGGGTGGCGAGCTAGTGGCCTTCCTCCTCGGCCCAGATCGCATTCGCTCAGGCGAACGTCAGTGCCAAGGGCACCTGGCCCCCTGCTGCACCATCTCCTGGGTCACCCAAAATGGATCTCGGCCAATCAGGAAGGGAGGTGTTCGAGGAAGAGGCAGACTGGGACTCAAGAGTTCAGCTAGAATCGGGGCAGTGTTCCAGTCCCTGGGGCCGAGCCACTTCCTGTCCAGGCTGGGCCTGACATGCCCAGGCCTCACTGGGGGAGCATCGGGGTCTGGGCTCTGACTCAGGGGCTGCTCTCCAGGCTCTGGGATCCCTGAAGGGGGTCCACTCTGAAGCAAACCCTAAACCAGGGCGAGAAACATTTAAGGATCCACTGACTTCCCCCCGATCCCCACCTGGGACATTTCTGACTGGAGGGCCTGGTGAGCTCCAACACTTCTAATCCCCGAAGTCCAACTGTGATGTCAAAGCATCAGAGCCAGGATGCTCGCAGGGGTCATGGAGCCGACCCTCTTTACAAGTGAGGAGAATGAGGCCCGGGGCCGCGCTGAGAGCAGATCAGGCCTGTGGATGCAGGCCAGGGCTCTCTCCAAAGTGCTGTGCTTGCCCCTCTATACGGCAATAAGCCCACACTTTCAAATTTCACAAGAAAACTCGGGGACAGCAAACGGTCTTGACCCTGCACTGCCTACATGCCCTTCAAAACAGAAATAGGTGTTAGAAAACAAGTGTTTGTAAATATTTCTTAACCACTGTTGCATAGCAAAATAGAGCTTTAAGAAAAAAAAAGGACAAACAAGCAGCTAAAAAAAAAAGATGAAGCTGGATGTGAAAGCAGCTGACTTTAAACCTGAAAAAAGAAACGCATGCCAACAGCTCCCAGGGATATTTGAATAATAGAGGAAAGCGCAGACTGCATTATTCCGTCTCTGCCCCTTCGGGGTGGGGGTGAGCAGGGGAGGGGGAGGAACAACGGGGAAGCGGCACCTAACGTCTAGTAAGGACACAGCAAGAGAGACAAGGCACACGGGTTTAGTTAAAAATGAACTCGGTATGTTTAATAAAGCTTGGCATTACCAAAATCGCGGTACAAACATCAAGTCACACGCCCACACAACAGGATCCCATTTACAAAGCGTCCCTCAGGAGGCCTCCACCGCCCTGCCAAGGGCACCCAGCCCAGGCCTTCGCTCTAGGGCAGGAGGCGAGGACAGGCGGGCGGAGAGGGGAGAGTGGAGGAAGGTGGAGACTAAAAACAGTCCACATAAAAGCTCCAACAGAGCCAGCCAGTGATATTACCACAATGATACAGGTACAGATAAAAACAAGGGTAAAAAGCCTCCGGCTGATAGCAGGCTACGCTGCCAAGAACCAAGATGGCGCCGGGCCGTGGCCCCCCAAGGGGCCGCCGCAGCATGGCCATCTCTCTGTGCTCTCGCTCTCTCGCTCGCTCTCTCGCTCACACTCACTCTCTCGCTATAAACACAGAAGGTATTGTGTTTGGAGCTAGTAACCTTGGTCAAATGAGTCCTCCGAAGAATCGCTGAAGGAGGAACGGGCCTCGACCTCGGGAAGCAGCAAACAAAACGGCTGCTTCCTGCCAGCGGCCGGCTTGGGTTTCAGAGTCCGGGTGGCCACCAGGCCCCTCTTGCTCAGCTTGGGGCCCCCCGCCGGCTTGCTGCTCTTGGCCACCATGCCACACAGGATAGAAGATGTCAGCTTGGAGCTGGAGGGGCCTTGGGCAGACCACTCATCCTTCAGGAATTCTTCGTCTTCCTCTGAGTCAGTATCTGCAGTCAAAGTAGTTGGTAATAAGGATAAGTCACACAGGCGGGGGAGGGAGGGGCTCGGGTCTTTCTTTCATTATTCTTAGAGGTTTTGAGAACAGCCTGGTCCGTGCCACAACAGAGAAGTCCAAAGGCCTGCTGGCCACAGAACAAGCTGGGACACCACCTCCAGCTCTGCCGGCCTGGACCTCTCATCCGGGAGGCCTTCGAGCCACAGGCATACACAGCCCGTCTTTCACGGGCTTCGACCCAGGCCCTTTCTAGGCTGGCTGCTGCCAACGTCACCCACCACACACCACCTCAGCGGACAGCCTTTCCAGGCCCTGGGGAAAAATGAGCCCCGCTCTCAGGAAGGTCTCTCCCCTGGTCACAGAGGTCACCGCCAGGTCTCGTCTATCCCACAGGACAGCACCCAGCCCAGGGGCTGCTACTGGGGAGGGACAAGGCCCAGGAGGGGAAGGGCTCAGGTAAAGCTCTTCTCCTCCCAAACACCAGTGGTGTGCCGGGCTGGCACGTGCAGACCTCTTCCCAACTTCCCGCTCAGCCACTTCACCATGGCGGCTTGCAAGAGGCCACGACGAAAGTGGGTACACCAAGGAAACTGGCAAATGTTACAACTTGGGGCTTACAGAGCCAGTTACTAGCACACGGCTTCTCATGACTCTCTGGCTTTACTACACCGGTGAGGCCAAGGGGTCCCAAGCTTTCGTGGGAGATGATCACCCAACTTTGAAGAAGGGAGCTGTCAAGTGGGCACAGTTCTGGCCCCTTCCAACCCCAACCCAAATATATACCATTTCCATCTGTTTTACCCATGGGGTTGTCAAGCAAGATTCCATGGGAAGAAAGGGCTCTGAAGCCAAAGTCTACAATCCCTTGACCTGGGATCCACTCTGAACATGAGGAACATGAGCAGACGCAGCTCCAGCTCCAGCAGCCCTACCATCTCCAAGTCCAAGAGAAACTACACATGCGTATGTGGGGCGGAGGGGCACTGGCTGCCTCCTCCAACATCTGCACTTTCCACTCCAACCCAGACCCCAGCTGCAGGATGGCCCGGCAACTTGTCCCGGGTAGGACAAGGATAAGCACGAGCCCCTGCCCATCCCCTAGCCACAGCTCTCCCTCCCGTGTGCTCCATCCAGTCCCTCCCAAGGCCACATCCCATGCTGGAGACACCCATGGGTGACGATGACCAACTTGGCCTCCCACCAGAACCCACCAGGCAGGCCATCCCACCCCTACAATCCAAAGGGAAAAAGCAAGAGGCAGCGTCCTCTCTCCCTCCTCCTGCTGGCACAGCATCTCTCTGCTCAGAAACACTCTGACCTCTTTGTGACCGTGCACCCATTTGCCTAGAATGGCACAAAAGGCAATGTAAAAAGTAGAGAGAACAGCTCTCTCAACAGCCAGCTGCATATCAAATCCCGCATCTAGTCGCAGATGGGCCTTCCGACCTCCTTGTTGCAACATTAACTCACTTCTCTCACCTGGACAGGTCTCAGCAATTTGAACCCTGCTTCTCGAGCGTGCACATCTGCCGCCATGGACTCACTGGCTGAGAGCATCCCAAAGGCCGCAGGGACGGAGCCTGCCTCTAGCCACAAGCTGTATTCCATCCACATCCACTTGTAAGCAGGGGAATGGAGGATTCTTCCAGCAACCAACCAGGCCACACTCATCGAACACTCTCCCTTGATAGACCAAAGAGCAGCGATCCTCCTCGCTCCCTCTTCATTATTCCAAAACAAGCAGAGACGGAAAGAGCAATGGAAAGCCTTTGCCTCCTCCTTCAGAGCTACAAGTCTCTGAAACTGGCCCACAGCAGCCAGGAACCTCGGCAGCGCTGTGCGGATCACACCATCCGAATCAAAGGCCACAGAAGCTACAGCAATGGCACCGGTCCTCAGCACATAAGGCACAAAGGAGCCACTTGCCCCACGTCCTCCAGAGCATCAACCCTGGAGAGTCACTGGTCTAGGACAACCAGAAACATGAACATTTAAAAAAATAATAACAACAGCTTAATCTGCTGCCAGGTGCCCCCTCCAGATCTTTACCGACCTGAGCTCAAGTAAAGCTCAACGGCCCTGTGAGGCAGGTGATGACATCCCAAATCGAAAGCAATAAAACTTTTATTCTCCTCCCTTAAGAAAACACTTTGTTACAACATTAAACTCATCTATTTTTTGCTCTAGACATTCAAACTCCCCCCGATAAACCAGGCAGAGCCAAATCAAAAGCCCCAGACACACAGATCCAGGCACTCACCAACGAAAAAGCCCTCCACCCCAGCCAGGGCCTAGGGACCCCCAGAACAAGCCCCGCCGACAGATGCCAGGAGCCTGACCTTCCGTCCTGGGCATCAGGTGTTCCGCCCACAAATACTTACAGAGCACCTGTTACAGGCCAGTCGGCGGGCTCCCGGCCCCCCGAGTCCAGGAGAGCCGGCGGGGGGACTCAGGCTGCCGGCGCAGGAAAACCACACGCCCCGAGTCCTCGTGGAGGAGCTCCAGTGTCCCTCAGGCCCCCAGCTGGGACGTCTCAGGGGCTCCACAGCCACGTGCAGCCACCGTCTGGGCAGCGCGGAGACCGCGTCCACTGTGGCAGGAGCTCCTGAGAGTGGAAACCCACAGGCTGGGCCTGACCGCGGCGCGAACCCCACCAGCGCGCAGTCGACCTCGCCTCGCCTCAGGATCCATCCTCGGGAACAACACCGCTAACCAGTGGGGGGGCCCGCCCTTCAGTGCCCAGCACGGCGTACGCTCCACAGACGCCATTTTCAGTAACATTCGGCCCAATGATGGAGAGCCGCGTGCGGGCAGGGAAGGCCGTGTCATCTCTAATGTCCTCACCAGCGGCCGCTCTAAAGCTAACGGCCAAAAACTCGGCGACGCAAGGACTCCGCACGACGCCTTTCCGGCCAACAAGCGGAAGGCGGGCACGAGGGGGCAAGCGGACTTCCGTTCCCACCTGCCGATCACCGGCGCCCACAAATCACAAGCGCCGGCCCGGCACAGCGCCCGCCAATCACAGGCACTTCCGCTTCAGGCAGCCCCCCCCCCCCCCACACACACACACACACACACCCCTTCCGCCCCACTTCCGGCCTGGAGCCCTGGCAGGGAAGGAAAAGATACCTTCGAGCGCCGTGACAGAAAGAGGAGGGAGGAAGGAGAGACGAAGCGGCGCGGCGTCCGCTACTTACTGTAGGAATAGCTGCTCACTTCCGACGCGAACGGGGAGTGGGCCGACTTGGGCTGGCCTCTGGCCTTGAACCCCACCTCCGTCTTCCGGGCTTTGGCGGCCCTTTTGTGTTTACCTTCTCTGGAGGCTTTGAGAGACAGGCCGAGGCCTTTGGCCAGCGCCTTCCTGTCCTTGCCCAGCAGCCCATCATAGGGCGTCAGGTACCGGCCGCAGCCCCCGCTCGTCTTTGATTTCCCCCCAGAACTGTCCGAGAACTTGAAGGGCGACTTCAGCTTGTCTTGCTTTGTGAGGGAGAGGGCCTTGTCCAGCTTGCTGGCCAGCTGCTCCTGGTCGCTGGCCATCTTCTTCTTCTTAATCTTGAGCTGGAGGGGAAGTGGGGAAGTCACGGGTTAAGACATTGGGCAAAAGAGGACGGCGGGTTTCAGCGCACGAGCTCTGAGGAGCAGGGGCTCCAGTCCCCCTCCTCGCCTCTGGGGCTTCTGGCAAGTTGCTTAATTCCTCTTAGCCTAAATGCTTCTACTCTGTAAAATGGGTATGGTTATGTATGAGCATCGCGGGGTTATTCCGAAGATGAACCAAGATAAGGCACACAAAGCACTTAAATAGCCGTTACTGTGGTTATGATTATCGCTGGCACTGGCGTCTCCACTCTGGCTGTCCAGCACTGCCTGGTGCCTCCTAGGGAAGCACTTGAAACAAGCAGCAAGGCCGATGAGCAGAAGGCAGCTGGATTAAGGGAGGAGGGAGGGAAGCAAGATGGAAAACCCAGATCACAACACCGCTGATCTGCTTATCTCAACCATCTAAAGCATCCCACGAAGACTGCACCACAGCCTAAGTCAGCCCATCCAACCAAATCGGCTGAAGCTGCCAAGAAAATGCCTCAAGTGTGCCTGGCATGCCTGACGCAGAAGGAACGATTAGAGATTTCACAGATTAAATTCCTGCTTGCATGTCTCTCGTCAGCGGTAGTCGTTTGTTGTTAAAGTGAAATGTGCAGTTTCAAAACCATTAATGCCCCTCGTTTGAACATTTTATCTCTGTTTTCTTTAATCAGGTAACATTTCATAAGGAGAACATTTGAAGAACAACAAAAGTATCCTTCACGATCTGAGTATAAAGGATCCTGATGTACAAACTGGCTCTCTTCCCACCACCTGGATCCAGTCTCCCTGCGTGAGTATTTCCCTCTGATGGCCAGGTCAACCAAAACAGCTGCCTCGCACAGGGCTTTACAGGGAGGGATGACAAGGGACATTGGTATTTAGAGACAAGGGCCTTAAGTGGATGATTTCAATGCTCTGCAGAAATAAGGCAAATCAAGGACTTGGCTCTTACCCCATGACCCCCGGAGAGTTCACAGAGGAAATTACAATGGCATCAAGCCATTGTTTCTTACAACTACAGAATGATGAAGCTGCTCATTAAACAATTACACCGTTAAACAAGAGAGTGATTGCATTATTTGGTTAAGAACTTGAAGTCTCTCTGCTGAGCTTCAGCAGAGGGTCATGGAGCACACAGGGGATGTGGCTTTAGTCTCAGCTCCACCTGAGGCTGTGTTACTTTGGTAAGTCTTGGACCTCCTCTGGACCTTCACTTCCCCCTTTGTACAATAAGGAAGATTGAAGAAAAGTCCCTCTGGCACTGAGGCAACCATTTCTACAGTTTCTGTGCAGCAGTAGGGCCCACAGCCCTGCACAGGGCACATGAACTCTGGCATATGCTCCAGACCTTCCACCCCAAGATGGCAGCACAGCTGGAAGACAGGGTTACTGACCTGACTCATGAAGTCAGACGAGGCTTCGTGCTCGTCCCAAGGCTGGTTCCTGCCCCTAGCCTTCCCCGTTCCAACAAGGGCATTGTGTTCCTCCTCAGGCCCCTTGTGCCTCTTCCTTGTTCCTGCTCCCAGCTCGTAGTCATCCGATGTCAGCAGGGGCTTGCTGCTCAGCCTGAAACCCAGAGGCACCACTGCTCAGCACCCTGGCCAAACAGCACTCGAGGGCTGGGGGTCGCCCTCATGGCCCTGAAGGGTGGGCTCTGGATGTCCAAGCACAGACAGTGATGACAGAGTGACGAGTCTGGGGAGACGGATCCTGCAAAACTATGGTGCTGCAATTGTGGGATATTTGTGAACGAGGCAGGATGCGAGTTTAAGGTAGAAGAAAAACTTCTCCAAGTCAGTCTCCTCCGCTGGCCCCTTTCTCTCTCGTGCTCCTTCACACATACACTCGCACACACATCTTTGGTCAGATACCTCTTTACCAAAAGATGTCAAGAACAAGGATCAGAAATGCCAAGGAAATCCACCAGGATGAGAGAGGATGAAGATCAAGAGCTTCTATGAAAAAGGAGCCACTGGCCAGTCTCCTATACCCTTGAGAGCACAGGCAGCCAAGATGTGGGCCCAGTTAAAAGGCTTCTCTTGCTGCTTTAAACTAAACCCTCACAAATAAGAACAGCCCACTTTTACTTGGTGCTCACTATGTGTCTTGCCCCATGTTAGCGCTTTATATTTTAGCCACAAAACAACACTCTGTTCTATACACTGCTTTTTATAGATGAGGAAACAGGCTCAGAAAAGCTAACACCTGGCCTGAGATCACAACGAGGGAAGGCCTAGGACTCGAAAGCAGGAAGCACAACCACCTCTAGGGTCCGCACCCCTAACCAGTCGGCCTGCTTACTGGTGGCTTCTCCAGGAGCTGCTCCCCTACCCTCCTATGGCTGGTGATGGGGTATTTCTTCCTTTCCCCATCCTCTCCTCAGTCAGGAGCATCCAAGGAGATTAAATGCAAGACATGGGGGCCATCCCCTCCTGAGAAGACCTGTGGCTGACTCACTGCCTCTCCTGTGCCTTTTGAAGGCACCCTGTGGCCCCCTCTGCTTCCTCAAGCCAAGCACTGGGCCGCCTAGCGTCCACCCCGCCCTGATGTCCCAGGCTGAGGCCCACTCTAACCCCCTTCCTTTGATGGGCCTCCTTCAGCTCATGCTACTCCCTGACACCCAGGGAAGACCACAGCATCTTCCCTATCCACGCCCGGCCTAGAGGAAAAGCTCTCGTCCCAGCCAGCATTTGAGAAAACCACACGTAGCTTCTGCTGCCACCCAAGGAGCCTGTCCCCAGAGTGCACGAAGGAGGTGGCCCTGGTTGGAAAAGGCAGGCTCTGGCACGACGAGCCAAGTCAGGAATGACATTGTCTGGCACACAGGAAACCAAGCAGCAGCACGAGTGTGAGCCGTCCCAGTGAGGCTGGCAGCTCATTGGCTCCCTCCGCAGGGAGGAGGTGCATGGGGAAGAGCGGGAATTAGGCTCTAGCCGTGAGGGAAGCAGACGTGGCAGGAAGATGGGTGAGGCGCTTGGGTGACAGCACGGCAACCTTCCTCGTCGGGGTCATCAGCCTGCTCAGTGCTGGGACAAGTCTGCCTGTCTGTTCCACGCCTGGCTCACCCTCCTGGCCCGGGCAGTGTGCACCGTGCTCCCTGAGAGCTACCAATCCAGACGGGTCAGAGCCTGAGGGACTCAAGGTCCCCGGCACCCAGACACAGGCCCCGCGTGGGCCGCGCTCCTCCCCTCCGAGCTCTGTGCCAGTTCCCGACCCGCCGAGGGGCCAGCCTTACTTTCCGCTACTGTTGCGGCTCTTCCCTCTCTTGCGGGGGGGCGACAGGGCGCTCAGGGCGTGGGTCCGTTTCCGCGGCCTGCCAGGGCCTCTGCGTGCCAAGCTTCTATGGGGTTCCTCGCGCCTGTCCCTTAAAAAGAATCACACGCTTGGCTGTGAACCTGGGGGGTGGAGGGGGCACGGAGAGAGGACACACGATGCGCACACGTCACTCACATCCACACACACCTCTGACGGCCTAGCACAGCCGACCTACTGAGCGCCAGTGCCTAAGAGAGCCCGGCCAGGGCGCCGCCTGCCATGGCCTTGTCGCCGGCCGGGGCCCACAGTGGGGACCCGGGTGCAGACTCACTCGGAATCACGCCGTCTCTGCAGCTTCACCAGCTCTCGCTGCTTCTCCTTGTACTGCCGCTGGACCTCTGCCAGCCGCATCCGGAAATCCAGCTCCATGGCGTCCATGTTTTCCAGGGAGGACTTCATGGCATACATCTGGAGGCAAGAGGAGGGATGAGGAGGCCGACGGCCACTATCCCCGACTGCCAGGTGCCCACTCCCTTGGGTGGGGGTGGCGCGACTTCCTGGTGAAGACCGGGGGCCCAGCCCAAATTCCACTTCTGCCTCTCACTAGCTGTGGCCTTGGGCAAACTGGGGACTCCTCATCGGCACCCCCAGGACTGTAAAACCCGCCTTGCAGGGCTGTGTCCAGGCCAAGTTAGCCCGTGACAACTGCTTAAGCAGCATCAGCTATCGCATTATCTATCGCTTATACCCGGGGTCTCAGAGAGGTGAGGCTGCTTGCCCAAGGCCCACAGGCAGCAAGGGGCACAGCCAGATCTGCTCTTCCCGATCTGCCAAGCTGCCGCCTGTGGGACCTGCTCCACACCTCATCAGTTGCATAAACTGAGGCCATGGAGGGGAAACAACCGGCCTGGGACCACACAGCAAGGTGGGAGAGGAATCTGCATGCAGATCAGGCCCTTCTGACCCCAAAGCCAGCTGTGCCACAGGCAAGATGGGGTCTCTAGAGGGGGACCCTGCCCCCGCCCCCACCCCACAGGCAGGAGAAGATGGGCCCAGAACACCTCACCCGCTCCTCCTTCTTCTGCATCCAGCTGTACTTCTTGTTGGGGTTCAGCTCCCGCGGAAGCCGCAGGTTCTTGAGCGGGTCCACGAAGGGGCTGTCTAGCACCTCCTTCAGCATGTGGCTGCTGGCCGCCAGCAGGCTCTCCAGCGAGGGCCGCACCGCCACGCCTCGCTCCGCACCTGCAGACAGGAAGCGGGTGAGCCCATGCTCCCTGGGTGGGCAGGACTCACAGGCATTGCAGCCACCCCCTCTCAGACCTCACACAGGGAGGAAACTGAGGCCCCAAGCGAGCTCAGGACTTGCCCCAGGCCACACGGCCCCCCAGGATGCTGAATGGACCTCAGCCCTTTCAAGATGCAGGAAAATAGCGCTAAGTAAGAAGAACAGGGGAGAGCACCAGACATACAACGTGGTCCTGTTCCTCACAGCTTTTGCTGGTGCACAGAAAAACCTGCGGAGAGTCACCAAAGGCCAGCAGAGGTTCCCTCGAGGAGTGTGGCTCTCTTTTTGCTTATCTGTCCTTAACATTTTCCATGAGAAATATGCATGGTTTTCATAGTCAGAAAAAAGAGCCCAAAATGAAGTTTTGTAAACAGTAAAAAAAAGTAATATGCACATAAGATAAAAAACACAAACCAAGCGGAAAGGTGTGAAGAAACGAAAGCCGTCCCCCTCCTTGGACAATGCCATAGCTGACAGTTTCTGGTAGATGGTTCCAGAAACATGCATATTCAAACATACATAACATACATGGCATCCTTATAAGTATAAAAATGGCATCAATCAATACGTACCAAACCACATTTTGCTTTTTTCTACTTGACATCTTTTCACGTTAGCACGTAACAAAGATCTACTGCATTCATATTATTAGCTTGAATCTTAAAAAAATTGCCATTTCCGTAGGTCAAAACACTAGAACATCAGCAATTTTATACAGCCAAACCTAATAACAACAGCATACAATTCTCTTGCACTGATTAGTTTTAATTTATGTAATAATCCCCCACTGATGGCATTTAGTCGTTTCTGATTATTGTTGCAGTGAATGGACAGGCACACAGCTGAGACACGTAAGTTAGGAGAATCCCTACCCATGCGACCAATGTGATCGAGGAACATGGGTTTGTCTCTTTGATAAGTATTCCAACTGCCCTTCAGAAAGGCTGCAGGAACTCAGAATTTCAGCACTGGTACATGAGAGCCTGTGTCCCCCACAATCTCTCCACCAAATTAACATTTAATATTTTAATTTTTTAATTGATGTTTTCTTTTTTTTTCTGCTCAGGAAGATTCACCCTGAGCTAACATCTGTTGCCAGTGTTCCTCTTTTTGCTTGAGGAAGATTCAGCCTGAACTAACATCTGTGCCAGTCTTCCTCTACTGTGTATGTGGGTCACTGCCACAGGATGGCCACCAACAAGTGGTGTAGGTCCGCGCCCGGGAACCGAACCTGGGCCCCTGAAGCGGAGCACACCGAACTTAACCACTAGGCCATGGGGCTGGCCCTAATTGATGTTTTTTTTGTGATCTAATTTATGATCAATTTTTGTGAATGTTCCACGTGTGCCTGGGGAAGAAAGTGTATTCTTTACTATCAGCGTGTAAAGGTCCATAAAATCGACATTAATATTACATCGCATAGACCAGGGCTTCTCAGCCGTGGTGCTGTTCCCGTTTCTTTCTGGTCGGCTAATTCTCTGCTGCGGGGGTGGCTGTCCTGGGCTCAGGGTAAGATGCTCAGCAGCATCCTTGCCTTTACCCACTAGATGTCATTAGTATTCCCCCCAAGCTGTGACAACCAAGTGTCACTGCCTGTTGAGGTTTGCTGGTTTTGCTCGTCTATATCCTTCTGAAAACTGAGACCACAAAGCGGTGAAGCCTATCGGCTCCCAAGGATGGGTATTAGACTGAGCTGTCTGGCCCCCCCGAGATAATGCCTGTGTACCACCTCACCCCCTCCAAGGTCCTCCAAGCCATATGATTCTTGCTGGGTAAGGCAGGGGAAAGCTGCTCCCTTAGGGAGGAGGGGACCAAGGGGCCACTCTGTCACCTCCTTCTCCCACCAACAAACCTGCCTTGCTGGGGCACTCACGACTGACAGCCCAGGCCAGCTGCTATGGGTTGAATTGTGTCCCCCCCAAATCCGTATGTTGAAGTCCTAATGCTGGTACCTCAGAATGTGACCTTATTTGGAGACAGTCTTTACAGATGTCATCAAGTTAAAGTGAAGTCTTTAGGGTGGGCGCTAATCCAATATGACCGTGTCCTTATAAAAAGGGGAAGTCTGGACACAGACATGCACAGAGGGAAGACCATGTGAGGACACAGGGAGAAGTTGGCCATCTACACGCCAAGGGGAGAGGCCTGAGAAAGAACCAACTCTGCCAAGACCTTATTCTAGAACTTCCAGCCTCCAGAACCGTGAGACAGTACAAGTCTGTTATTTAGGCTCCCCAGGCTGCAGTATTTGTTACGGCAGCCCTAGCTGGCTAAGACACCAGCCTTGTGGCTTTGCCAGTGCAGGAGCAAGACATGCACCGGAACCCCACGAGACCAGGTGTCAGTGACGGGCTGAGGGCCGGAGGGGCAGGAGGGAGGGAAGGATGGCTGCCCAATTCACTCACAATTGTAGGTAGTTGCATGGGGGCGGGGGAAAGTGGGATGGCTGGCGACTCCAGGACATGGCGTGGGCCATGGGCAAAGCTCTCCCTGGCCTATGAGCCCTGGACCTGCTGTGTGACCGGGACCATCCACTGCCCAGCTCTGGACGGAAACCACAGGGGACTGATGCTCAGTATTCCATCAGTGACTGCTGGGAAGAGAAGAGGCCACCAGGACCTGCCTTACCCCTGTGGGTCACACCCCTGCACACAGTGCCTCCAAGGGCACTTTCCAGCCCCCAGAGGCGCAGACCCAGCACTGGAGCCACTGTGCAGCACTAAAGGGCAGCTCAAGCTTCCGGGTCCAAACCAACTGCTGATCCTCCCCCAAAACCTGCCCCTCCCGCCGCTTCCCCAGCTCTGAAACTGGCACACCTACTTTTCAGCAGCTCAGGCCCAAACCCTGGAATCACCTCACACCACATCCAGCCCATCAGCAAAGCCTGCTGGCTCCACCTTAACTCCCACCCAGACCCCACCTGCTCTCACCTCCGCACCCCTGCCACGTGGGGGATCCGCCCTAGCCCCTGGGTCAGGTCCCCACGTAGCCCCCAAACGACCCTATTTAAGTCTGGTCCTATCACGCCAACTCAAAACCATCTTCCGTCGGCTCTCCATTTGACTCGAAGTAAAAGGCTCCCAGGGATCTGACCCCACCCCCATTACCCCACCACCACCTCCTCACCACCGCTCTCCCCTTCCCGCTCTGCTCCAGCCCCTGGCCTCCTTGCCCTTGTTCCAACATGCCACGCACACTGTCACCTTAGGACCTTTGCATCTGCTGCTCCTTCAGCCTGGAATGGTTTTCCCCAGAAGAATCTTGTTTCGTCGCCTGCCTCGGGTCACCTGATCAAGAGGAGCTTCCCTGGCCGTCCTCTATAAGAGCCCACCCTCCCACCTCTGCCCTGTCCCCTTCCCAAGTTTCCACCACCTGCCTGTCACCACCCGATGGTGCCGAGGGCTGCAAGTGGATGACCTTGCTCACTGCTGGGCCCCAGCGCCAAACACAGTGCCGGGCATACAGTAGGCGCCTAACGAGTATTTGATGGGTGAGGGTATATGGGGCCCCCAAATAGAAAGTGAAACAGGAATGCAAAAGGGGGGGCAGGGGCCACCAAAGTGGGTGATCCACCCTCAGCCCTCCCTCCCAGATGACCCTGGCCCTCTGCCGCCCCCACCAAAAACCCACCGCCAATGGGTGGGATATCAAGGGGGTTTTCATTTTCTTCTGAAAAAAAGATTTTTTTGTACCAAACTATTTAAATGAGAGCAAAGAGGCAATGAACCTTAGAAACACAACAACAAAACAGACTCGTGGGGCGGGGGGGGGGGGGGGGCACTGGTCCAAGCTTCCAAGGGGCCATTTGACCACAACGATGAACAAGTCTTGAAAACGTGACCTTGTTCTGAGCCAGCAATTCTACCCCTGGGAATGCATCCCCAGGAAATGAGAGGCATGGACAAAGATCTTTCTTCAAGAGTAATCATCATGTTATTAACAACAGCAAAAAGAAAGAAAAAAAAAGGCAAACTAAAATGCCCGGCCATCTAGGATTGGGTCATCGAAGGCTGGGGCCTGCCCTGGGCAGTAAACCAGCTATCCCTAAAAAAATTTTTTTTAAAACACATGACTTTGAAAAATGTTTAATAAAGAATATACTAAGTAAAAAGGGCAGGTTACAGAACTGTTTACAAAATGATCTTAATTTTAGCAGCATGTGCGTGTATAAAAAAAGTTCTAGAGGAAAGACACCAAAACACGGGCAATGCTATTATTATCTCCCAACAGCTGTCGTCGGCCCGTTCTCCATGCTGGTCCCAGCCCAGTGTGGGGTGCCGAGGCTGTGCCTGCCCACAGCCCCTCCCTCACACATTTCTTGGAGCACCCCAGTTTTCTATGTCGAACATCAGTGGTTTGTGCCAGCCCAGAATGCACTGCCCCTTCTGCTGAAGGCCCCCGTTTCCATTTGATGACCACCCCTCCCTACACTCCAGAGGTGACACCTCCATCAAGGGCAGGGCATGATCAGCCTGGTCCATCCCATCTCCTGGGCTGCAGGGTTTGCTTCTACAAAAAGCATGAACCTCAGTGAGCCAATGAGAATGAATCACAGTATCTTTGCCAGAGCTACCAGGAAAAAGGTGGCCTCTTTTGGGAGTCTGCTGAGCTGAGCAGACCCATGGGCCTGGGAGGAAGTATTGGTGACCCCCATGAGGACAGTGGGCCTGCCTCGAATAAGGCCAAGAGAGAGAAAAGTAGAGCAAGGGGGAGAGACAGATGGGGAAGGGTAGGAAAAGAAACTCCTGATTACTTGGTTTGAGCACCTGGATCCAGCCATACCTGAAACTAATTACCTAATTACTGCTGTACTTTGGTTCTATGAGCCCATTAATTTCCCCCGCCTTTTTCTTTTTTTTTTGTACGTTTTTGTTTTGTTTTGTTTTGTTTTAAAATTATTTATTTATTTATTTTTCCCCCAAAGCCCCAGTAGATAGTTGTATGTCATAGTTGCACATCCTTCTAGTTGCTGTATGTGGGACGCGGCCTCAGCATGGCCGGAGAAGCGGTGCAGTTGGTGTGCGCCCGGGATCCGAACCCCCGGCCACCAGCAGCGGAGCGCGCGCACTTAACCACTAAGCCACGGGGCCGGCCCATCCCCCGCCTTTTTCTAAGCCAGTTAAAATGAGAGTTTCTGTCCCTTGCAACCCAAAGAACCCTGCCAATACAAAATTCACCACTGACAGAACAAGGAGAAATTTTACCACTAAAACCCCCAGAGACTGACTGCACAACGTGAATGTACATAACACTACTGAACTGTACACTTAAAAATGGTTAAGATGGTAAATTTTACGTTATGTGCATTTTACCACGATTTTTGAAAGGAAAATATGAATAAACCATATCCTGGGATTTTTCAAAATTATATTCTCATTAAAACAAAAAAATTAACCTATAGACACCAATGGCCCAGCATGGCTCACCTCCCACCTCCTGGCTCCTCTTCTCCAGCTCCCGCTCAGCAATCTCGCTCAGCAGGGTGATGCCGTGCAGGAAGTTGTGCTCCAGGACAAGGCTCTGCACTGCCTCCAGCTTCTCCAGGGCCTGGGCTCCGGTGCCTGGGGAGGGCAGGGGCCTGGCCTGGGGCAGCTCTGCAGCCGCCGCCAGGGCATTCATGCCGGCCAGCGGGTCCTCCAGGCCAGGCAGGAACTGGTCGGAGCCTGCCTCCTCCAGGAAGCAGGTGCCACCGGGCACCGGGGCAGCCTCCTGGGCCTCCAGACTTGGGCACTCCCTGTCCCTGGCGGGCACATCGCAGTCTGCCAGTTCCAGGCTGGGCCGGGGCTCACTCTGTGCCGCCTGGGCCAGGCCTTCCTCCGGCACTGCCTCCGCCATGGGCACAGCCATGGGCACATCAACGGGCACCTCCACCGGCTCCTCCTTAGCCTCGACCAGTGTCTTAGGTGTCAGCCGCGCCCCCAAGTCCGGGACAGCTGTGCAAGATTCTGTCCGGCCTGGAGAATCCACCCGCGCTTCGGCCCCCTCGGTGAAGTCTGGGCACCCCGGGGGCTCCGTGCCCTCCTGCCCACTGGCACTCAGCGCCTGGGCCTCCAGCAGGCTGCCTCCACAGCCCCCCAAGGGGCTTGGGGGTGCCATTGCCTCCTCGGGGGGCAGTGTCAGCGGGGACTCCAAGGAGGGCAGCTCTGCGGGGCCCTCGTCCATGTCCTCCACCTCTGCCTTCACCTCCCGCTCCACTAGCGGCGCTTCGTCCGGGCCCTCCCGCAGTGGCTCTGGGATCTTGGAGGGCGACAGGCGGAGGGGCTTGTCTTCGGGCGAGAGTGCCAGGCGTTCGGGCCCGTCAGCTGGGAGCGGCACGTCGGGGGCCAGGCCATCGGCGTCAGCAGCTGCCGTGGGCTGCAGCAGGAACGGGTAGGGCCTCCCATAATGCGGCGGCAGGGCTGGGAACGGGTACCTGGGCGGGATATCTGCAAGGACACCAAGGGTCAGCGGGGGCCCTTATGCCATGTCTGATAAGCTCTCTGTCCCCATCAACACCCACCCACCCAGCAGCCAGGACAGAGACCCACAGCCACCCTCTCTGCTTGGCCGGCCTGCAGGCCTGGGATGTCTTCCAGGCGTCATCGGAGGAACCCCAGGGCCTTTCTGCACGTCTGGGCCACAGAGAGAAAAATCAGCCACCATCCTGTGTCCCCCAGGGTCTCCAGGCTCAAAGGCAGAAACCACAGTTGGCTCTTTCTCTAGTCCCTTCTCCCTCAGCACCCAGAGCAAAGCGGGACCAGAAGCCAACGCTCAGTAAGACCCCAAAACCATCCCACCCAGCCTGTGCCATCTCTGCCCTCCATCCCAGAAGCACCCGCCCACCCCACCCCATTAGAGCAGAGTTAGGGCATCCAAGTTGTTCAAAAAATAACAGTAACACAGTGCTGCCTCCCCTTTTTTATTCTGAACTCCTGCCCTCGAGTGTAATCCCCGAGAGCAGGAGGGCGTGCAGCTGAACTTCTGCAGTGCTGGGCAAGTGCAGACACTCAGCAGGAGCCTGACCTGGGGAGACAGATGCACGGAGCACCCCCCAGGGCCGTCATGTGCTTAGCACATGACGTTAGCCCAGCAGCAAATCTCCCCAGAGAGGGGAGCCACTTGCCCAAGATCACACAGCATCCTGGTGGCAGAATTGGAATTGGAACTCAGGTCCTCCCAAGTGAGCTCACACTTGTAACAGCCCCAGGGCGGAGGAAGGCGAGCCTCGGGCCCACCAAGGCACCTGCTGACCGTCCCCACTGACTCAGGACAGGGGCAGAGTGCATGAGCGCACACAGCACATGGGGTCGGGGTACTGCCCAGAGTGGGCATCCCTGCACTATTACCAATGTGACAACTTAGCAGCTACTGTGTGCCAGGGGGTGCTAAATACCCTACAGGTCTGATTTTGCTTAATGTCAGGACAAGTCCCTCTAAAGTTCTAAGAGTACACCCATTTTCTCAGAGTCAGAGACAGATGACATCTCACTCATGCATTCGTTCTACGAGTGGCAGTGGGCCCGTACGCAGTAGGTGCTCAACAGAGACAGAAAGAATAAAAGGATGAATGACTGAATGAGTAAATGAACAGAGAGGGGACCCGCTTCACTGGCAGCCAGAGCCAGAGCCGCCTGAAGCTTGCGCAGAACTGAGGTGAGGCCCGGGGTCTCAGCCGTGCTCCTACCTGAGAACAAGGCCTGGAAGGGGCTGGAGGCTTCCTTCTCCAGCTCCAAGTCCTTCTTCTCGACCACATTTTCAGGCGCCTCCTCCTTGCGAGTGATGCCAGGGGTGGGCGGCGGGGAGGCAGGCGGCGGGCTGCTGGGGTGGGAGCTGGGTGTGGCGGGGTAGGCGTAGGTGGGCGGCTTGGACACGTCCTCCAGCTTCTGGATGACCTTGGCCTTCAGGGCAGCCACAGGGGAAGCGCGGGGAGATGGCGGTGGGCTCATGGTCTTGCCATAGGTGCCCGCGGAGCCGGCAGCCAGGCCGGCGGGCTTCCGAGGCAGCAGCCCGGGGCCCGAGGCGGCCAGGCCAGCCTTGCCCGCGGCCTCCAGGCTCCGCTTGCTCACCTTCTCCTCCATCTCCGCCCGATGCTCCTGGGCCTTCAGCCGCTCCTGCTGGGGAGGCGGCCAGCAGGCAAGGTCAGCGCAGCAGGAGCCATCGCCCAGCACCTGCCCTGTCCCTGGCGTCCCCTCAGCCCGCGGAGAACCTCAGGCAGGGTCCGGGGTGCGGGCCGCCCACCCTCCCAGCCTGAGATGGACATTCCGCCACAGCACACGTGTAACCAGCACGGCGATCCTTCTAGAACCCCAGCAGACAGGGCAGGGGGCCTCGGTGGGCCTGAAGGCCGTCCGCTGGGGCTGGTGGGGGACCTCCAGTGCAGACCTTGGCCCTGCTGGGACCCGCAGTCAGGGTGGGGGGGCCGGGGCAGAGGCGTGAGCCTCCTGCAGTTGAAGAACCCGTGCCGCTCCCCAGCACCTTCACGGCATTAGGATAACTACCTTCACGGAGAACTCCCTACCTACTGAACATTCTTCCGTCTTATCACATTTGGGTCTCAAACACCTCGAGGGGGTATGGGGAGCCTTTTCTTGCCTTTGATGACTTTTGAGGAAACGGGAGGGAGCTGGCTCAAGGACAGCCATGCTCACAGCCAGGGCAGGGAAGAGCCCAGCTGGTGGGGGGGGGCCAGGCAGTCAGCACACAAAACACACTGGTAAGAAATGCTCCAGGCACCAGCCACTCTCACGATTATTAAATCTCACTGAACAACCCAGCGACGTAGCAATTACTAGCATCTCTGTTTTCCAGGGGAGGAAACTCGAAGCCCAGAGAGGTGAAGTCACTTGCCCAAGGGCACACAGCCAGGCGTAGCAGAGCTAAGGTTCAAACCCAGGGCCCTGTCTGTGCCTGTGCCACCTCTGCTGACTCCTCTGGAGCAGCTGCTTGCACAGGGAGGAGGGACGAGGCCGAGCAGAAGATACACATCCTGACCCTTCAAGGAGGCAGAGCTGTGGGCTTCAGGGAGTCCACCCACACGGGGGGCTCCTCACGTCTCTCACCTTACGGGGTCAGGCCACACGGCTGTCAGAGGCCAGCCCCCACCCAAGAGGGGAGCCCAGGGCCATCACGCGGGCAGCCCAGTCAGGTGGCCCGGAGAGAGAAGTCAGGCTGGGCTCAGGAAACATCCAATGAAAACGTCCCCAGGCCACAAGCCGCCTCTCCTGCCTTGGTTTCCCCACTGCTCTCTGCACCCCGCCCCTGCCAGCCCTCATCCACCTCTGGGCCTTGCTCACACTGTTCCCTCTGCCTGGAGGGCTTGGCCATGGTTGACTCCTTCAGGCCTCCAGGCCCGTGTCACCTCCTCCAGGAGGCTCCCCCTGACCACCAGCCCCTCTCGTCCTTCCTCCCTCACAGTCTGTAACTGTTTGAAGTTTCCGCTGGTGACCTGTCTGCCTCACCGTCAATGGGGGGCCCCAAAAGGGGCCTCCACTGCCCCCATGGACCCCCGTGACCACCCCACCCCAACTCACCACCAGCTGGGCACTCCTCTGCAGCTCCAAGGCCTGGGCTGCCTGCTGCTGCAGGTACAGGAGCTCCTGCTGCCGCAGGAAGTGCTGCTGGGAGAAGAGCTGCAGCTGCTGGGCGTGGTGGAGGGGGCTGCGGCCCGGCGGGTACAGGGCCGGCCAGAGCGGCGGCACGGTGGCCCGCTCCATCAGCTCCGCTGAGGACGGACGAGACGGACAGTGAGGCTGCACCCGCCGCCTGACGCCCCGTCACCCCATCTTCCAGCGAGTAGATGTTTCACACGGCGGGGGAGTTGGGCTCGGCTGGGCACCTCCCCGGGTGCTTCCTGGGCGCCAGGAAGCCTGGCCTCCCTTGGCACCCACACCCCAGGCCCAGGGAACATGGGCCCTGTCCACACCCCATGTGGGATGTCCCCAAGGCCTCACAGCTGGAGCGTGCCAACGTGGGGACTCCAATTCCTCCTCCCACTACACCCAGTGGTCTGCAAGGTGGATTCCTGAGGGATGGGGCCACCAAGGCAGGGGCCCAGCCAGGGGGGCCCTGCTCTGCTTCTCCACATGGGCTTTCTGGGCAGGAGCTCATCGAAACAAGGACCACTGGGGCCGTGTGACACGTGGAAACCACAGAGGTCAGAATGTCCTCTCTGAGCCCCAGTCTGCCTCCCACCCTGTTCAAAGGCTGGGCAGACACTCCCCTCCCCAGTAGGAAGCCCTTGGCATTAAGAGATGGTCTTGCTGGGCAAGGCCACTGCAGCCACTGCCCCCGGCCACAGGGCTGCCACTCACCAAAGTGAGGCAGGTGATCACTGGGAATGACTACCAGCTGGCCCGACTGGGGGTCCCTGACGAACTGGTAGGCCGACGGCAGGGAACCCCCCAGGCTGGGTGGGAAGGCGGGTGCCATGCCCTGGTGCAGAGAAGGGGGGCCCAGGCCTAGGAGAGACGCAGGCCCAAGTCAGTGCTGGGGGCCTGGGCCTACCCCCACCCCTGCCCTGCCCACTCCCCCGTCCTCTACCTCCTGGGGCCTCCACGCAGGAAGCCGAGGGGTGAGGGCCAGCTGACAACTAGCATGCCCACAGCCGCCACCCACCTCTGGGCACCATCCCCAAATGGGCTTGGCCAAGAAACCCTACGAGGCTGCTCCCATAATAAGTACCCTCCTTGGACAAGGAGGAGAGGAAGGGTCCTGCCCCTGCCCCAGCCGCCAGCACTGTGCTCCAGCAAGACTCAGGTTGGGCGTGCTCTAGCACACCCACCGCCCCAGCCCTCCCACCAGATAGGGGAGCAGTCGCCCCACACTCACCATAGGGGTGTCCGGCGAGCCACATGGATGTGCTGCCTGAGCGGGGCAGCCAGGGGTGAGTGGCCAGGTGGGCCGCAGGGTCGGCAGACCAGCGACCTGAGCCCGCCAGTGCCGAGCCCCCAGTCACCATGAGGTTGGGGTTCAGGCCATTAGCAGCACAGCTGGTGGGGTGCAGGCGGGCCAGGTCAGCCAGCTCCTTGCTTTCTCTGGAAGGGGAACAGAGGCTTCAGCAATAGCCCACACAGCCCCGGGGACGGGTAGGAAAGCAGGGGTGTCACCCGATGTAAACGAGGGACAGCCAGGCCTGCTGTCAGGACAGCACTGCACCTGGCTTCCAGACGAGCAAGCTCAGGCTCAGAAAAAAAGGGCCCCTGGGGCCGGCCCCGGGAGAGGGCCCACGCTCACTGGAGGGGGCTGTGGGGGCCACCTGGCCCAGGATCAGCTCCCGCTCTCAGGATCACAGCCCCAGTGGTCCAGGGGCCCCTAGACCCCCCAGGCTGCCCCGACCCCGCACCTGAGCAGCTTCTCCTGGTCCCGGTCCAGCCGTGCCCCCAGCAGCCGTTCCTCCCGGTGCCTGGCCCTCTCATCCCCACAGTCCTCTTCAGCTCGGCCGTGCCCTGAGGGGAGCAGGCAGGGAGTGAGCCCCCGTCCAGAGCCGGGGGCCCCCACTCAGAGCCCCCAACAAGCCCTCCATCTCTGAGCAGGTCCTTCACACTGGAACACCTTCCCTCGTGATGCACCTGCGGCCTCCAAACCCTGGCCAGGGGTCCTCTGAGCCTGGAGACGTCCCTCCATCAGCCCCCAAAAACCTGTTCCATGACACGCAGTAGCCGCAGCCACAAATGGACTCACAGGCATGGGTGTCGCAGTAAATGGACAGCGCCCTCCTACTACAGCGTCAGGCCGAGCGGGCTCCCACTACTCTATATGGAACACCGGGAAGGCAGGTGCCGGGGCGCATGGAGGGGAAACCACAACCCAAGATAGCGGCCACCGCTCAGAAGCACAGCCAGACCCAGGTCACAGGACCCGGCCGCCATGCTGAGGTCCCTCATGCTTCTGTCTGTTGCAGACACGTGGCTAATCTTCTTAAAATCAAGATAGAGAAGCAAAACCAGAGAACACCATCCACGTGGGGTTGAGTGCAGGAGGTGGGAGCTGCCACCGGCTTGCCCGTGCCTGCCCTGCTGCCTGGCGGGCACCCCGCCCATGGCTGATCCAGCTGTACCTTCCCTGACCTCCCCAACCCCCCAGCACAGAGAAGGCAGGTCCCCAAGTCCAGCCTGGCACACAGCGTGTTACTAAAGGGGAGGGTCCCTCCTGGCCCGGCCATCTTCCACCAGCCCTGCCGCGGCCCCTCTTCCCAGGTGTCTTCTACACCACGAGCCAGAAACCGGTGCGCGTGTGGCAGCCCCAGGCAGGCCAGGACACAGGACACAGCAGTCACCAGCAGCAGAGGCCACACTGTGAACGGCGGCCACGTGTCTTAAAGGAGACGCCTGCTGAGCTTGGACTACCTACCTCTCAGGGTCGGCCTCCCTGGAGCTGCCAGGAAGAGGGTGGGCCGGGCTGGTGTCCTCCCTGCCACCCATCCAGGGACACTATGCCCAGGACCCCACCAGCGGGGCACACTTGCCTGCCCTGAGGACCCTAGGAAGCCCCAGCGCAGCCTCAGCCCCCAAGGCCCAGTCAACTCAGGTGATGTGCTCAGGGAAGAGGCCGCCCCCAGCCCCCAGCACAATGACGTGATTGCTCTGCTGGAGACAAGTGTCCCGGGCCCTTGCCGGGGTCCATCTGCAGCCCCCACACTCATGACCCCTTTGGGCAAGGAGCCTACTTGGAGTGCTGCCGTCAGGCACCTCCCTGTCGCTTCTCCCTTCCTGCACCCCCAAAATAAGGGCTCCCAAAGAACAGAGCCCCCAGGAGAGGCTCAGGGAGGCCGGCTTCTCCCTTTCCCTACAGGAGGTGGGGGCCCGCCCGCCCCAGGACAAGGGAGAGGAGCCCGGAGGGAAGGCACAGCTAGTGGCAGCTGGAAACGGGCTGGTGGGGCAACCTGGGCAGGCCTGGGAGGCCGGCCTAAATGTTCCAGAAGTTCTGGAGGCGACCCAGGACAATGGGGAAGCGCCGTGCACCTTTAAGCAGAGAAAAGCCAGAGAGGTGGGGCATCCGACGGGCAAGCAGGAGTGACGGCAGGCAAGAAAACCCATCTGTGGTCTGTCCTCCAGACTCGGCCCCCACGGGACGCAGAGGCGCATCCCTGAGCACCTGCTAAGTCATTTCACACGGGCCGCGGTCAGCAAAGGTGCTGAGCGGACACTCCACCTATGCCTGCGCGAAGTCACTGCCACCGTTCCTGGCACGCGGCAGGCAGAAGAAGGAAGCTGAAGGGGAGACACTGACAGCCGGAGAGCAATGCTGCCCCGTTTGGGGTGACACCCAGCCAGGGTGCCCCCGGCCTCCAGCATCCACGTAGTTCCCATATCCAAGGGGACCCTAAACCCACCCGCCCCCTTCTCGCAGGACTGGTCGGGGCCCCACTCGTGCACCCCGAGGGGAAAGGGTAGCAGTGGGTTTCAGGCAGGCCTGGGGCATGGAGGGCCACCCCAAGTCCTGCAGCTGGGCCGGGAAATCAGAGCGAGCGCATGGGCTTCCTTCTTGCAGGGTAGAAGGCCTCCCAGACCCACGGAAACCCCAAGGGCCCTCTTGCCCACCAGGCCACCCTGGAGTCGGGGACAGGCTCTGGGCACGGAGCTCCCAGTGTCCCCAGAAGAGACCAGCACCTGGAGTGTAGCCTGGCCCCGAGCCCTCCGTCCTCTGCCCTAATCCCTCTCCACCACCCCAGGTCTCAGGGGCTTCCCATCCCAGGCCCCACTGGCCACAAGAAAACTGTCTGCAGGCCAGCCTCAGCATGGAGCACCCGCCACCCCCAGGTTCACTCAGGGCACAGCTCCACACTGCTCCCTCCAAGTCTGGGTGGTTGCCAGAGGAACGTGACACACCCTCCACTACACCTCACCTCCAGGGTCGGCTGGGCTCCGGCCCCACCCTCATCCTTCCGCATCTCCCCATCCCCTCCAACCTCTGCTCACACCAGTCCCTCCTGTGGAGTACCAGCCCCCTGGAACCAAGCCCCTGCCTGCGCCTGGGCCTGGATGGTACCCCCAGCCTCTCTGCCCTGGCTCTCTGCATTCATCACGTGTCCCTTCCCCACATTAGGGCCACACATGCTACTCCCTCCACCCAGAGTGCCCTTCCCCTGGACTATTCAGCCTCCCCCATCAGATCGCAACTCAAACGCCACCTCCTCCAGGAAGCCCTCCCTGACCATCTCTCCTCCATTACCCTCCCTTATTTGTCTCCTTCACGGCACTGACCACAACACCCACCTATTCTACTTATTCCCCGTCAACCTCCTCCATCAGACTGAGTGTTGCTCTGGTTTGAGCAGTCACACTTCTGGCTGTCTACCTCTCCCCTACACAATGCCTGGCACAGAAGAAGCTGCTCAATAAACACCTGGGGAATGAATGAATGAATGAATGAGTGAACAGACTCATGAGGATATCTAGAGAAAGAGTGAGCTATACAGAGGAAACAGCAAGTGCAAAAGCCCTGAGGAAGGAGGCCACGGTAGCTGGAGAGAATAAGCAAGAGAGAGTGTAGAAGATGAGTCCACAGAAGGGGTGTGGGGGGTACAGGCCGTACGTAGGGGCTTGCAGGCCGTGGAAGGGAATATGGTTTGGATTTTGTTCAAGGTGAGAGGGGAAGCCACAGGAAGTTCCGAGCAGAGACGTGACAAAATCTGAGGATGCTTTGAAAACTTCTCATCCTCCGGCTGCCTGTGGACAAGCAAACCAGAGGGCCCACCACCTCTCTGTGCTGAGCTCCAGGCTGGCAAGGGACCGGCTCCCCCGGGGAGGCAGGCATGGGGGGCAGAGGGTCACCAGCTCCAAGGTCCCAGAGACACAGGACACCACCCAGCCCCCAAGGCAAGAGCTTGGAGACAAGGGGCACGCACGCGAAAGCAGGGCCCTCGGTCGTCTCGGTGCGTTCTCACGTTCACAGTCATCACCCCGAAGGCAGTCCCAGTCCTCCTCCCCCTCCAGCTGAGGGGACTGAAGCACAGGTAGCCCGCCCACTCACGCCCCTGACCCACAGGGCGGTGGCACGGCTCAAATCGGGATCCTACTGGATCTTCCTCACCCTGGGGGTGCACGTCCCTCCCGCAGAGACAGGGCACAGGGTGGGCACTGGGGAAACGGCCACATTACTGTCATCACCCACCCGCAGGCCTGCCCCGGGGCCCACGGCCTGTGCCCACCCCTCCAGGGGTGACACGCTCAAATCCCAACCACAATGGCCGAGGCGGGCTTGGTTCCCACAGCAACCCCCTCCCGACTCCATCTGAGCATTTGGGCAGACATGGCTGGCACGGGCTCGGCCGACTCGGAGCCCCCTGGAGGCTGGGGCCGACACCACCGCTTATATCCACGCAACCCCAGCTCTGCCCTGGGTGGTGGGGGACACCCTCACAGCCCCTCCGCCCAGATCTGAACCCCAACTTGCTCCACCACAGAGGTGATGACAGGCAAGGGAGAGAGGTGGGAGGTGCAGGCCTAGGCAGAGGGTTCAGGCTCAGGAGACCCTGGGCCCCGCACTCCCGTCCGCAAATAACGTTCCCCCCTCGCAGGGCTGCTGGGGGAGTCGGTGGCCGGGCCCTGTAACGACCGAGCGTCCTCAGGGAGCTGCCCGCTGGGTGGCAGTGACCGCACAGCTCTGTGGCTTCTCGGGCACGGGGCGCCGGTGGTTCAGGGCTCACAGGACTAGATAACGTCTGTCCTTAGCCTGTCTCAGGGTCTAAGACCCCCTAAAGCCAAACCAGACCCTGTGTGGGTTTTTCCAGAAGAATCTAGAGCCATAGGCCTTGTCCAAAGCTCTGAGACCCTAACGCCCTGAACGTGAGCAGAGAAAAGGCAGGTCTGCTGAGGAAGCGCCTACCATGTGCCCATCAGCCCACCTGTCACCATGGAACAAGGCGGCCCATGCTGCCACCACACAGGAAACGTGGACACAGGCCGGGGGGCTCAGGCCTCTCGCTCCAGGTCACACAGCAGCAAGGGCAGAGCCTGGATTTGAGCCCTCTGACGGGGAGAAGGCTTACCCCAAAAACCAGAGACAGGGAGGACGGGAAGAGACCAAGAGACCTGGGGTTGACGCCTACCCACTCGGCTGCCAGTACCCCAACTTCCTCCCCCCGCCCAGGGTGCTCAGACGGGGGACAAACCACCACTTCTCACGGGAATCGTTCTAAGGAGAAGAATCCAGCCGCCGACTTTTCAACAGCACAAGACAAAGCCGCTTCAGACCAATCCCTGAAGGTCTTGCCCCAAACCTGCCACTGCCACCCTCCCTCTGCCCCCATGCTGTCAGGCACACATAGGCTCTCTCTCACACACATCCTCACGTATTCTCTCATACACACTCATTCTCTCGCTCACACGCGCACACACACACACGACCCCATGGACACTGGCAGGTACACTGGGCTCCAGGATGAGCTCTGGGGACCATGAGCCCCCCACAGGGGTGCCACACCCTGTCACATGAGCATTCTTCCAGAGAAAAGACCTGGACAGATCTTTTGCCTCCCTGAAGGTTCCATGGCCTCAAACCTCTGTCCTGCCAGAGGGTCTGTCCCCCACTGAGCTGGCCCCCTCCAAGCCAAGGGCTGTTGCCCACTCCTTCAATCCTAGACAAGGCAGGGCCTCGTGCAAGCCCCCCAGGGTCTGAGAACAGGGCTTCCTTGGCTCTGGGGCACTCCACACAGAACAAGGGGCTCAGCTAGTCATTCAACAAACATCCCCTAATAATCACTCCCTCTGAGCCACCCAAGCTAGATGAAGACCCTTGGCAGCCACAGTGTGCACGCAGACGGGCAGGCCCAGTGTGAGGCCCAGGGCAGCCCTATGCCTTACTGGCCTCGCCAGGGAGAGCAAGGCTGAGACAGCAGGTCTAGGAGGCAGCTGTGACAGAACACAGCAGTGGCCACTCACCATGGACAGAGAATGAAGCCCAGGAGTCGGCTGCGGTGGGCACAGGGGGCCAAGAGAGGGATGCAGACCCAGGAGATGTGCACCCAAGACGCCCGTGCAGCCTACGGGAGTCAAGTCTGGGAGATGCAGGGAAGGGGGGGGCCAGGTGGGGGCTACAAGCAGGGGCCAAGGCTGAGCTCACAGCCGGTGAGTACAGGGAGCGAGCCGGGGGCTGGGGACAGAGGTGCAGACAAGAAACCCAGGCCGACTGTTGAGAAACGACACAAGCAAGGAGCAGCGGGACACAGCCTTCCAGGGCCCTTACGACAGCCTGCCAAAGCCACACCACGGCACACTGGGCACAGCGCAGGGACAGGGGGCGGCCTCCAAGCCCACCTGCAGGTGGGGCCCCTGGCTCAACAGCAGGCTCTCTTCCCTGCGGGCCAAGTCCAGAGTTTCAACAAAAATGCCACAAATACCACTCCCCAAAACCCCAGGAGGGATTCCAACAGTGAAATACCCAAGAGGCAAAGAAAACGCAAGCAATCAACCAAGTGTCAGAAAAATGTTCAGCCTCCCTAGTAATTAAAAGAAATGCACCATTCCTCCCTACCGGAGTTAGCAACGTTTTTTTTTTTTCTTCTAACGTTAAAACACAATTCTGAGGAGTCTAAAATGCAACAGACTCATACACTCCTAACAGGCATATAAAATCTCTAACAACCTAAGAAGTCACTAAGGTACTGAATGTCCCATAAGAACCCATAAGAACATCGGGACCCTCGTTTCTATCTGTTACACTCAGTCACTCATCCATCAAACACCTACTACGCGCCATGCCCCACCCCAGGTACAGGAGACACTGAACTAGGTAAGGTGCCGTTAGCTCCCTTGAAGACTTTGAATTGAAGGCATAAAGCTGCTCTATTCCTAGAAACCTATTCTTAGATAATGACTCAAAATATCATCAGGAAGGTGCAATGCACAGAAATATTCAATGTAACATTGTAAACACAAAACCCTTGGAGAAGCACACACTCAGATGCCTGCGAGGGGAACGGCTAACTGAACTATGGCATGTGCACTGAACAGAACAGGAAAAGCCATTAAAAATTACACATAAAGTCTGCAATCACAAGAAGGGTCAACCCAACTGTCACTCATGAAAAATGCAGGGGCCCAAGATCCTAAGGGTGCAAGGAGCTGTGCAGGTAGACGGGAATCACACAGGAAATGCATCCGGGGAAAGATCTGAGAGTGTTCAGGGTGCTGGGAAAATCTAATGGTCCTTTTTCTGTCTCCTTTTTTGCATTTTACACATTTTTCTATGTCTATAATGGAAAAAGCAATAAACTTTAAATCGCAGCGCTGGCGCACAAGTGGGTAAAGACACGTGGTGCAGCAGGAGGGAGAGCCGGGGTGCAAGGAGGCCAGGAGACCCCAAAAAGCGAAAAACAAAGACCAGAGGGGACCCAGGACCCACCTTTGACGTTGCTTAGCGACAGGGAGCGCTCCTGGTCCGCCAGCCCTGGCCCCAGCCGGCCACTGCCGCCACTGTCCTTCTGCCGGGCCACGGCCACCGCGATGCCCACAGGCGGGTGTCGCACCTCTGCCTCACCCTGGGCACCAGAGCTCTCGCGCCCAAAAGCCTTGGCGCTCTCGGGCCTCTCGGGGTCCCGCTTTAGCTGCCGACCCCCGGCCGCCGCAGGGACCCCGGGGTGAGGCAGGCGGGCCTGGGCGCGCGGGGTGCCCGCGGCAGTGGGGACAGGTTCGGGTTTCATGGTGCCCAGGCCCCCAAAGGGGCTCTTCTTGCCGCAGCCGCCGGGGCGCACAGCCACGGCCTCGCGCGCAAAGCTGCCACTGTACTTGATGAGGCTCTGCATGGCCGAGGCCTCTCCCGGCCCATGCGCGGCGTGCAGGTCGGCGCCCGGCCTGGCGCAGGTGGCCGCGGTGCGGGGCAGCGCGCCCCCAGGGTCCAGGTAGGCCTTCTTGGCGGCGGCGGCAGCCTCCTCCTCGGCGCGGCTGGCGTGGTGGTGCTGCGCGGCCAGCACGGCCATCTGCGTGGTGGCAAAGTTGCCCAGCTCGAAAGGTTTCCACTTGGGCTCAGGGCCGGCAGGCGGGTGCGGCCGCCCGGCCTCCAGGCCGAAGAGCTTGGCGGCCTGCTGGGAGGCGGCGGCGGGTCCGCG